TCACGATCCGACCGATCAAATACCGAACGCACGACACCTCCGAGTTCAGCACACGTTCAGCCCGATGACGTCCCTCGAACTTCGATCCAGCCGAGTGTTGAGGGAGAGTTTCGTCAGCATGATGGCGTGGTGACGATGATGGTGTTCTACCGACGCAGGGCTTCGCCTAAGCACTGCTACAGTATTATCGAGGTGGACTATGGTGGAGGGGGGCACCGCACACGGCTAAAAGATCAACTGATCAATTGTTGTGTCTCTGGGGTGCCCCCTGCCCCCGTATACAAAGGAGCAAGGGGGGTGCGGCCGGCCAGGAGAGAGGGCGCGCCAGGAGGAGTCCTACTCCCACCGAGAGTAGGACTCCCCCCTTTCCTAGTTGGATTAGGACTTGGGAGGGGGAAAGAGGAGGGAGAGAGGAAGGAAGGGGGGGCGCCGCCCCCCTCTCCTTGTCCTATTCGGACTAGGGGGGAGGGGCGCACGGCCCAGCCCTGGCCGCCTCTCCTCTTCTCCGTAAAGGCCCACTAAGGCCCATTAACCTCCCGGGGGGTTCTGGTAACCTCCGAGTACTTCGGTAAAATCCCGATTTCACCCGGAACACTTCCGATATCCAAACATAGGCTTCCAATATATCAATCTTCATGTCTCGACCATTTCGAGACTCCTCGTCATGTCCGTGATCACATTCGGGACTCCGAACAACCTTCGGTACATCAAAACATATAAACTCATAATATAACTGTCATCGAAACGTTAAGCGTGCGGACCCTACGGGTTCGAGAACTATGTAGACATGACCGAGACACGTCTCCGGTCAATAACCAATAGCGGAACATGGATGCTCATATTGGCTCCCACATATTCTACGAAGATCTTTATCGGTCAGACCGCATAACTACATACGTTGTTCCCTTTGTCATCGGTATGTTACTTGCCCGAGATTCGATCGTCGGTAACTCAATATCTAGTTCAATCTCGTTACCGGCAAGTCTCTTTACTCGTTCCGTAATACATCATTCCGCAACTAACTCATTAGTTGCAATGCTTGCAAGGCTTAAGTGATGTGCATTACCGAGAGGGCCCAGAGATACCTCTCCGACAATCGGAGTGACAAATCCTAATCTCGAAATACGCCAACCCAACAAGTACCTTCGGAGACACCTGTAGAGCACCTTTTTAACCACGCAGTTACGTTGTGACGTTTGGTAGCACACAAAGTGTTCCTCCGGTAAACGGGAGTTGCATAATCTCATAGTCATAGGAACATGTATAAGTTATGAAGAAAGCAATAGCAACAAACTAAACGATCAAGTGCTATGCTAACGGAATGGGTCAAGTCAATCACATCATTCTCTAACGATGTGACCCCGTTAATCAAATGACAACTCATGTCTATGGCTAGGAAACTTAACCATCTTTGATTCAACAAGCTAGTCAAGTAGAGGCATACTAGTGACACTCTCTTCGTCTATGTATTCACACATGTATTATGTTTCCGGTTAATACAATTCTAGCATAAATAATAAACATTTATCATGAAATAAAGAAATAAATAATAACTTTATTATTGCCTCTAGGGCATATTTCCTTCATACAGCCTTAGGGCGTCGTTTAGACTTTGGGTTTTGTTTAGATTAAAAGTTTGCCATAGCTGCAACTTCGCGTACTTCGTTTGTGTCCAACGACCAGACCAAGACGTCACAGAACCCCACCTTGATTAATAAAGCTTTCATCTTTTATTCGCAATATCCAGATTGCAATCTCAGTTTCTTACTTGTTCTTCGTTTGCTCGCAGGAAATAGACCCTTGTGGTCAGGTTGATCGTGCTCCGGTGTGGTCAATAACCCTCGGAAGTTGGTTTAGCGATTGCTAAGGCGCAACGTCTTCGCACGTTCGTAGTCGGATCATCAAACTCGACTCCCACAGAAAACGATATCTATCTCATCGAAACATCGGACACCTTCGCCTCTATCAAAAACTTAGCTAAACAATGTGCTTCTTTATTTGTCATTCGTCTTTCAAAGGTAAATTTGCAGTTAAAATTGATTGCACGCTGCTTGATCTCTCTTACAATGCTCCCATAGTTGCTCATTATGCCTTCATGTATCTCCTTGATAATTTGCTCCGCATCCAAAGCAACAACAAAATTATGGACGTGCAAATCCTCAGCTAGCGACAGGGCCTCTCGGTAAGAAATTGCTTCCAGAACCGCCGCATCAGTGATTCCACGGATAACCAAGGCTGAGCTACCCATGAACGAACCTCCCGCACCTCGGCACAACGCAACTGCCGGTCCACCAAGTCTAGAACATGCAACACTAGCATCCACATGGATTTTAGCATGGTCTGACGGTGGCGCCTTTGGTCAGGTAGCTATGTTTGTTGGAATAGTATGCATTGATGTTCTTGTAACCGGAACAATCTTAAGGCCAACAATGAATCTATTTATAAACTGATAGGTCGTCGAGGGTGTTTGATATATCTCTTCATGGACGACTTTCCTCCTGGCCCACCAGATTGCCCATAGTGTCACAGATAGCCTGACAAAATACTCATGCGAAAGAGTGTCAATCATCGAGAACAACCATTGTTTCGCACTCGGTTCCATAGTTCCGCACAAGTGTACTGCTAGATCACCATGAACAAGTGCCCAGACGCATCTTACCATAGTGCACTCAAGTAAAGAATGTCTCTAGGAATCTGCACCTCCACATAATGCACAGTGACTTGAAGTAGCCATTTTTCTGTGTGCTCTCACATTTTCAGTTGATGGATGCACTGCTACAGCACCTGCTACGTTCTTCAGTTAACGGAAGAGAGCTGGCTAACGAACCAGCACACCCGCCCTCACTTCCCGGCCCAGGAGCGAGGCAGGACGCCCCCCCTCCTTTGTTTATTTCTTTGTTTTCTTATTTTTTATTTTATAAATAATTCAGGATTTAAAAAAGTTCCAAAATTTTAAAAAGTGCATTTTGGAAATATGTTTCAGAAACCATAAAATGTTCGTCGATTAGAAAAAATATTCATGGTTTCGGAATGTTCACGTATTTAAAAAATGTTTGTGATTTTGAACAAAAAATTTATTAATTCAATAAATGTTAGCAAAGTTTTTAAAACATGCCCAAAAAATAAAAAATGATTGTGAAATTACAAAAAAATCGATTCAAAAAATGTTCACTGTTTAAAAGTGTTCATGCATTTAAAAAAATGTTCGTCAAACAAAAAAAGTTTATGAAATTCAAAAATGGTTCACCAGTTAAAAAGATATTCCTTGGTTAAAAATGTTCAGCGATTCAAAAAATGTTCGTCAATTCATAAAATTTTACAAGTTTGAAAACAATGTTTACTATTTTAATTTCTTTTTGCAAAAAGTTGAAAAATGTTCAAGAGTTTGAAAAAGATGTTCGAAAAAAGAAGAAAGGGAAAATAAAAAAGTACTTGAAAAAAGGAAAATATAAAAGAATATAAAAGAAAGAAGAATCAGAAGAAAAGAAAAAAAATGGTTCAGGGAACGAAACTACTATAGAGCCAACACTTCATGCACGATCTATGCACGACCGGCAATAAGACGGATGTGCTGCACTTTCTACCAAGATTGGATGGCTTGATGTGCACCATCGTGCATGGATCGTGATAAAAGCGTGTGTGCATAGCAGTGTTCATCGGGGATGTTCTGGAAGCTACCAAAAATGGGTGGGAAAAAACCAGACTGGGCCGGCCCATATTGTGGACAGGCACACATGGGGGCTATGCGCTAGGTCGCTGTCTAGGGGGGAGCTCATATACAGCGCTGCAGGCGCCCGCTAACGATCCGGCGCCTGCAGCGCTGCTAGCATGGGCCGGCCCACCAGCGTGATGGCCCCAGTTTCTTTTTACGAAAATAAAAATATGAATTCAAGAAAGATTTACATATTTAAAGAAAAAAAGGTTCATCCATTTGAAAAAATACGTTCATATCTTTAAAAAAAAGTTCACCAAATTGAAAAAAAGTTCATCAAATTTAGCAAAAGTTCATTAAATTTGAAAAAAGTTCATAAATAAAAAAAAGTCATCCATTCTCAAGACAAATGTTCATTAAATTTCAAAAAAGTTCATCAATATTCAAAAAAGTTAGTAGAATATAGAAAAAAACGTCAACGGGCGCCCAGATGGGCCGGCCCATTTACGGACGCCAGAGGCGCCAGTTTACAAAATGCACGTTAACCTACGCGTCGAATAGAAATGGCCTTGACGGAAGGTCAACAACTCAAGATCGGCAATATCCTACGGCCTGCTACGCTCGTCTGTTGCGCAAAAGCTATTTACTGTATTTATCGGTTCATTTACTATTCTCTCTTCTTATCGTTGTCACTGAACGTTGAGTTGTAAAGCGTATCATTCAAGTGAGAACTTGGCCGAATACAAACATTCATCTTATAGCCAAAACCACAGCTGATTCTCTCAAATGACACTGCAGCAATTATCCGAATCCGATTCAGCACGCCATGGCCAAGCGACCAGCCAACATCGCCATCGCTTCTTCCCCACTGCCACAACTGGCCAGTGGCAATCTACTTGTCGAATGCTAAGGACGCTGTGTTATCACCAAGCAGGAGAGACAATTATTGTGCAAACACATCATACATGGTCACCGTAAAAATACAAATCCAACGATATACTTTTTGCAACATATACTCTAGATTTTTTTTTAGTTTGATATATATAGATGGTCTGCCGATGCTGCCCCTTCCGGGCAATATGCTCTAAAAAAAACATGCTGATGCACTCATCGGCCATTACACATCAATGGATCCAATATTATTATAAACTTTGGTCTAAAATTTAACTGGATCATCAACTTCTTGAATTCACATACAAATAGTGCCACAATTGGTTTCAACTGATTTTAATTATACAAGGCATTGCAACTACAGAAGCAGACCAAATAAGGAAATGCGTATTTGGACCACTATTTCTAGCCCAATCGAGTACTCAGGCAAGCCGACTTGGTATTCAATAAACTGCCACTAACAGTCTTCAGTTACCCTTGCACGATAATCATCGCTTATTTCAGCAGCCGCCAGGAAGTGGATTATGGCAGGTGACTCGATGCCCTTCCTGATTCGCTTCTCCACTGAAGACATCTGCTTATCTGTCTTCGGAAACACTATCGGCTTTAGAGGCTCCTCGCCTTCGCAGTAGATACATGTGAGCCTGTCATACAGGTACACATCCCCTAGATTCACCGCTGCTTTCATGACACGCCTGACATGACTCACCATGTACTCTTCAGATTGGAAGCAGAAGAAGGTTAGCTTGGTGAGACAATGGTGCTTGAAATTTGATGTAGGTGATTCCCACTGGACACCCTTGTTCCTGCTATAGGACTTCTGCCTCCTCACCTTCTGGTCCATTTCCATTTCACATGGATGATCAATTACCTACATGCCACCCATAGGACAAAGGTAAATGGAACAGGTTAATTTTGCACTCCAGGTGAAAGCACAGGTGTGTGCAATCATGCAAGCAACCCCTAAAAAAATACTGTAGGTAGGAACATACTGTCTCATAGTAGAGCAACCCATCAGAGGAAAAAAAGAAGAAGAATAGAACAAGCTTTAGTTAAGAACAAACCGTCAATATGAGCTCCTTCAGGGATGGCGCCGCTTCCAAAAAGAACATTGTCCAGGTGAGATCATACCCTTCAGGAATGCTAAGTAGATTGAGAATCCTTAGTTGGCAGAACACATATGCCTGCCTTCTGGTCAAACACTCTGATAGGATGAGTAGTGAACAAGTGAAGCCATAACAAAGCAATCAACCTGACTTACCTTTTCAGATTTAAACCCCAACCTCAGGTCTCGGACAGAGGTCTCGTGAAGAAATGTACTTAACTTGACCATTTTGTGCCAATTAAGAGCAACATTTGAAAGGCGCAGAACCTCAAGCAATGGGACATGGCCAAATGACAATGGTGGTTTTCTGAAAGACACCCAAGACTCAAACGCCAGGCAGGTGAGTTTCGGAACCCAGGCGAGTTTGACCATGTCAAACCGGCAATTAACAATACTAAGCTCTCTGAGCTGTGCATGTTCAACTTGGAGCGTTATCCAATCCTCTGTGTCGCAATTGAGAAAACCTAAATAATTTAATTTCTTGCAAGTGACAAGGATGTTGGAAACAAAGTCTGATTTGGCGAATCTCAAATTCTGCAGGTGGAGGCGGGTGAGACCAGCAAATGCATTGACACATTCATTAAAAAACGACACAAACCGTGTCCCATAGTTTTCCACGTCATAAACGTCGCACTCTAGGCGTTCCTTCTCTGTCAGAACTATGAATTCGGCCTTTTCAGTCTTGCATGTTGCCATGGCACTGGCAACAGAATGCCCAACTGATATGGGGGCATCGTCTTTCAAGTAGAACGTCATGCTCAAGAGGCGGATGGTGCATCCACCCGGATCCCTGCGTGCCAGTATGCTCTTTGTCGCTTTGGCCGCAGCTGTATTGGCCACAACTTTGGCTGCATCGGCCAAGGCTTTGGCCACAGCTGCATTGGTCCTCTGAACCAATTCAGCATTGGACAATCCTGCATTGGCCAAAGCTTCGGCCACAGCTGCTTTGGTCCTCCGAACCAATTTACCATTGGTCTTTTTGGTTTTAGTTTCTGAGGGCAGGAGGTCCGGAGCACTGATTACAAGCCGTGGGAGCATTGCAGGAAGCTGACTCCACCTTCTCGAGAGGACACTGGTTCTCGCAGCGTTGCGGACATCGAGTCGGTCGAGAATGTTGAGCAGGATGTCATTGGGCAAGCTGCTGATCCTATCATCTGGATTGACTTCCTGCATTTGGCACCCAAACAAATCAGAGTTGATACCACGGTACACTCAAATACACAATATTGATAAGTCTCGAAAGTGCAAGTTTGATTGTCTCGGAGATACAATTTGTCTACTGTCACAGGGATGCAACTTTAATCTACTTTAAGATAACACAGAAAATATTTTATTTATACTCCCTCCGTAAACTAATATAAGAACGTTTAGATCACTACTTTAGTGATCTAAACGCTCTTATATTAGTTTACAGAGGAAGTACCAACATAAATGGTACGTAGATTTCGATAGGCTCAAAGATTCAATTTTGATGCTGCCTGAAAGACTAAAATTTGACCCCTGGCTGCTAAGGAAAATAAGATATTCAGAGGAAGGGGAGGAAAAGGAACTCACCCCCACGGTCGAAGCGGATGGCCTGTCCATCAATTTGGCAGCCCGTCGCCGGCGACTAGACTTCGCCATCGCCCGAGTTGCTGGTCGCTCCGAAAACTGATGTCCACTAGGGAGTTGTTGCTCGCCTCCTCTTAAAATTGTCCGCCAGGCCAGATATATATATGTACTCCCTCCGTTCCGAATTACTTGTCATAGAAATAGATGTATTTTAGTTCAGATACATCCACTTTTGCGACGAGTAATTTGGAACGGAGGGAGTAGCTGCTAGATTCCCGCCACCAATGGAAACTCGGATAATGAATTCGAAAGAGGACCTGTTTCTGATTGTAATCCGGAAAGGACTGCTTTGATTCAGGATTGCGGCTAAAGAAGGGAGGTGCTTCGATTGCGGACTGCGGCTCGGAGTGGAGCCGCTTGATTGCTTCGATTGCTGGTCGCAGCTCGGAAAGGAGCCGCTTGATTGCGGATCGCCGCTCCCAAAAGAGCTGCTGCTCTTACTGATTCGATTGGGGAGTGCGGCTCCCAAAGGGGGAGCTGCTTATTTGGTCGCCTATTCGCAAGCAGCAGCGGATCCTCATTCGAGGCATCCGACGGCAATTGCGACGGCGAGAGGGGGAAGATGGACCCCCGATCCCCTTTGTTCTCTGGTGGAACCCTAGGGCCTCGTTTGGCGCGAGTGGATGGGAGGGGTTCCGAGAGGATTTTCCTCGCTGCAAACCTGGCTAAACAGGCCGGCACGGCGCGGCCCGGCCTAAGTTAAACAGGCCAGGCACGGCACGGCCCGACCAAGCACGCTTAGTACATGGGCCGGGCCGGGCCGGCACGCGTGCTGACCTCCACGGCCCAAGCACGGCCCCTCAGTGAACGTGCCGGCACGCTGGCCCGGTAAGTACGCCAGCACGAGAGGCAGATCGAGGCGTTTTCTCATAAAAAAAGAAGTAACAAATCGAGGCATGCTACGTACGTGATCTCTTGCCTCTAAAAAAAAATCTTACGCGTCGTGCGCTCGTGGAGGAGGCACGTCTCTCTCGTTCGCTCGTGCCAGGAGGCACGTCGCTATCATCTCGCTCTTGTGCGCACGTCGCTTTCATGGGCCACACCTCCTGGTCCCCCCGCAACTGCCCATGCCAGCTAGTCCCCATATACTAGACGGTTAGGCGTGCCGGGCCGGGCTGGCACGCGTGCCTGCCTAGCCAGCCCTGGCACGGCCCTAGCCGGGCCACGTGCCGGGCACAGCCCGTTAAGTCACGTGCGGGGTGAGCCCGTGACGGGCCAGGCACGCGGGCTATCGTGCCGGCACGCCTAGGACTGCCCATTTGGCCAGGTTTGCTCGCGTGGGCCAAAAACCCCCCAAAATCCCGTTGGCCCATTTGGTACAGGGGGTTCGCATGGTCCGATCCCCTTCGATCCTCCCGAACCCACGCGATTCAGAACCCTCGTCCAAGGACTCAGGGAAGCCGCGTCCCAGCGCACGCCGCCACCACTGAGGGGAAGAGCCCCGCCGCCGCCACCGAGGGGAGGAGCCCCGACGCCCCGACTCTCCCCGGTGGTAAGTCATCGCAGCCCCGCCCCTCCCCTCCTCCGCTTCCTCTCCCGGTCGCCATGGCTACCACATCCCGCACGTCGTCCGTCCGCCTCTTTGTCAATGGCAAGCTCTCCAAGAACGTTGTGATTTTCTGATGGTGATGGTGATTGCTTATCGTTGTGTAGGATTTGTTGAACATCTCGCCAGGTAGGGTTTGATTAGGCTGGTCTGATGTTAATGACCAAAATTACTCTTTCTGAACCTGTAAGCTACCATGTAAACAAGTTGTAACGCCCTCGATGCGGTTATATCTCCCACGTGTCGAAGCACGACTTAGAGGCATAACCGCATTGAAAGCAATGTCGCAAGTGAGGTAATCTTCACACAACCCATGTGATACATAAGGGAAAAAGATACATAGTTGGCTTACAATCGCCACTTCACACAATTACATGAATAAAGCATTACAACATCCAAATACAATCAAGATCCGACTACGGAACCAAAATAAAGAAGAACCCCCAAAGCGACAAAGGTCCCCGATCGACCCCAACTGGGCTCCACTACTGATCAACTAGAACGAAACAACACAAAGGGCAAGATCTTCATCGAGCTCCTCCTTGAGCTTGGTTGCGTCATCTGCACGGTTCAACGGCACCTGCAAGCTGGTTTTGGAAGTATCCGTGAGCCACGGGGACTCAGCAATCTCGCATCCTCGCGATCAAGACTATTTAAGCTTATGGGAAAGGTAAAGGTATGAGGTGGAGCTACAGCAAGCAACTAGCATATATGGTGGCTAAACATACGCAAATGAGAGCGAGAAGAGAAGGCAAAGCACGATCTACAAACTATGATCAAGAAGTGATCCTAGAACAACCTACGTCAATCATAACTTCAACACCGTGTTCACTTCCGGGACTCCGCCAGAAAGAGACCATCACGGTTACACGTGCGGTTGATGCATTTTAAATAAGGTTAACTTCAGGTTTTCTACAACCGGACATTAACAAATTCCCATCTGCCCATAACCGTGGGCACGGCTTTCGAAAGTTCAAATCCCTGCAGGGGAGTCCCAACTTAGCCCATGACAAGCTCTCACGGTCAACGAAGGAATAGACCTCCTCTCGAGACATTCCGACCAGACTCGGTATCCCGGTTCTACAATACATCCTCGACAATGGTAAAACAAGTCCAACAAAGCCGCCCGATGTGCCGACATCCTGATGGGAGCTGCACATATCTCGTTCTCAGGGCAACACCGGATAGGTCAAGCTACGAGTAAAACCAGCCCTCAAGTTTCTCCGAAGTGGCCCCGCAGGCTGCCCATTTCGGACCAACACTTAGACAAGCACTGGCCCGGGGGGGGGGTTAAAATAAAGATGACCCTTGCGCTGGCCTAACCCAAGGGAAAAAGAGGCTAGGTGGCGAATGGTAAAACCAAGGTTGGGCCTTGCTGGAGGAGTTTTATTCAAAGCAAACTGTCAAGGGGTTCCCATTATAACCCAACCGCGTAAGGAACACAAAATCCGGGAACATAACACCGATATGACGGAAACTAGGGCGGCAAGAGTGGAACAAAACACCAGGCATAAGGCCGAGCCTTCCACCCTTTACCAAGTATATAGATGCATTAATTAAATAAGATATATTGTGATATCCCAACAAGTAAAACATGTTCCAACAAGGAACAACATCTCCATGTTCCAACAAGGAACAAACTTCAATCTTCACCTGCAACTAACACCGCTATAAGAGGGGCTGAGCAAAGCGGTAACATAGCCAAACAACGGTTTGCTAGGACAAGGTGGGTTAGAGGCTTAGTTCAACAATATAGGAGGCATGATAAGCAAGTGGTAGGTATCGCAGCATAGGCATAGCAAAAGAGCGAGCATCTAGCAAGCAAAGATAGAAGTGATTTTGAGGGTATGATCATCTTGCCTGAAATCCCGCAAGGAAGAAGAACGAGTCCAGGAAGAAGACAAACGGACATAGTCGAACGGTTCCTCAAAAACGCGACGTTACCGGAACCAACCCGAAGAAGCAACACCGGAAAGAAAGCACACAACATAGTAAACAACCAACACAACAACATGGTATGATATGCGAGATGCGGTATGCGATGCATATGCATGATTTGCAAGGGAATGAATGAACTTGGCCTCAACTTGGAAATCTAAGTGTGCCACTAGAAAGGTGAGAAGAAATCGCTTGAAAACGATATAAAGATCACCGGAATCGGAGTTATGGTTTGGAAATGGCAAGTGATTCAAATATGGCACCGATCTGCGATAAACAGCAAGTAGCTATCTAAATGCAACAAGATGAACATGCTACAGCACCCAAACATGGCAACACAATACATGGCAAGGACCCACTCATGATGCTTAACAAAAGACTAGCACTGAGCTACGGCCAATTCATCCATTAACAGGTTCAAATAAGCATGGCAAAAATGCATGTGGTAAACAGATCTCAGACTTAGTGAAATTAACACTTGTCTGGAATTTCAGATCAGATAGCACACTTTGGAGCAACAAAACTATATGCTACAGGACATGAACATGGCAAAGTAAAGCATGGCATGGAGCTACTCAAAGATCTTAACAAAAGTCCCTTAGTGACCTTGAGCCAAAAGGGATCAGAAAATATAATTGCAAGCATGTGAACATGGCAAAAACATAATCAGATCACAGACTTTGTGAAAACCGGAGCATGCTGAAACAAGTATCAAGTAGGCATGTTTACGAGCTCGATGCATTCACTATGGAGCAAGTCATGACAAGCTAAGCATACATCCATCAAGAATACACAAAATGCAAGCTAGACATGGCAAGAACAATAGCATAGCATGCACGGATCAATAACAATATCCTCGGCAAAATCGCTAACAAGTAGACAATCTGCCCAGATTCACGAAATAGCAAAAGTAGAGCTCGATTGACTCAAGCTAGAGTGATCC